TCCTGAATGGAGTATATTTGGTGGAACTAAGGAAATGTCAAGAAAGATTAAAGCAATGTATCTGTATGAGTTCCCCAATTGCCATAGTCTATCATAGGGATAGAAGATTTTAATTACAGAGCAAGCCAGATATGTGGCAATCTTCGTACTTTCTCAACTTTTCTGTAACTCTATTCTAAAAAATAACTATTAAGAAGAAAAAATATCATCCTCTTTCAGCATCTCCACTATTCTAAGGAATATAAGATTGTTTGGATATCATTAAATAATATATAACAATACAGTCAGCATAGCACTAAGACAAAATGCCTTCATTAGTTTATTGAAAAATTACCTACTAAGTTCCTTTGCTGAGGCCACTCTGTTGGTGATAGGGTGGTTAATGAGCCACCAGCCTGCACAAGAAAGGAAGGGGTAAATAAAATAGAATATAAATTAATGCTAATGATAAAGGCCATTTTAAAAAAGCCCTACACCAAACAGAGCAAGGTAGTAGAGAATGGGGGGAAGGGTCCTGTTTTTTAGACAGCTAGATAAGAGGCCTGCTTGGGCTGAGATTAGGCAGAGCTCAAAGACCACATGGAGAACTTGACTTTTACTGTCATGGGAAGACAGTCACTGGAGGGCTTTACCCAGAAAGGTGCCATTCTCTGGTATATCTGTTAAAGATTACATCTGTGGCTGTTTGGAAACTGGGTGGGGGGGGGGAAGGGGGCAGGAAAGTAGACTACTGCAATGGTCCAAGTAGGAAATGATGTCAGTTAGCAACTCAGTAGTAAGAAGGAAAGTTGTATAAATGGTGGGCTGGAGGGTATATTTCAAAACAGAACTAACAGAGCTTCTGGTTGGGTGGTTGTAGGAGAGTCAAGGACCATGAAAAAAAATGAGTTGTGAATAAAGCCAAGTGAAAACTACAAAACATGATAGAGATCTAGAGTAGAGACTTAGATCAAGATCAAGATCTAGAGATCTCATCCATCGCAGAGTGATACACTCCTGAAATCCCAACTACCCAGGTAGGATGATCATAGTGCAAAGTCAGCCCCTGAGGAAAATGGATGATATTATCTAAAACAAATGGATGATATTATCTAAAAACAAAAGCAAATTACGGTTCATGTAGTAGAGCAGCTGCTTAACAAGTACAAGGCCATGAGCTCAAATCCCAGGAATCCAAATCCCAGTACTAATCCAAATCCCAGTACTGAAAAAAGCAAAAAAACCCACCTAGAGACCTTGACTGTCCTCTGAGGCTGTCAAATAGCTACAGGATGGCCACAAACTTAGCATTCTGCTATATAACATCATCTCTGTGCTCAGGCTAGAACCCTCTGAGAAGACTTATCTCTAAGACCAAAGGGAATTGCAGGAAATGGTTTCTGTTGATGATCAAAGATGCACCCTTCCTCTCACTGGAGCAGCTGGGGAGGGTGCCAAGTGCAATTTCTTTCTGTGTCGTCTTCCCTGCCCAAATTCCAGGAAGGCAGCAAATGCATTCACTGCTGGATGGACTGAGCACCTAGCAGAGTATATGAGCCATCAACATTTGCTGCACAACCCTGGCCTATAGTGAGTGACAAGTGACTCCTACGGGGCCTCCTCAGAAACCACATTTTAAGAGAAAAACCACAGTATCCAGGCCGACACAGAGGAAAAGATTAAAGTTCGGGAGAGGGTTGAGTAGTCAGGAAAGTGGGGGTTAGAGCCAATAAATGAGGAGGAGATGGTTCTGCAGGAATCTGATAGCCAAAGGGACTGTGATCTTGTTATGAAACTTGATCATCCCTCCCCACCCAGCCCCCCAGGATCACTGCATGTCAGAGCTGAATTTATCTGCCCATTTGACAGATGAAGAAAATAAGGTGAAATGACTTGGAACCAGACCCCTATTTGCTAGATTCCAGGTGCCATATTTAAAGAATTGGGCTGATAGCATGACATTAAACTTCCTTTTCTATATGTAGACACAAGGAGGAGTTTTTCAGAAACAAGATGGAAAAATGATCTTCTAAAAATCTATTACCAAGTAAAATTCCCATTTCAAAATTTCATTTCTGAAAAATGTTTTAAAAATGAATCTCTCAATTAACATTTGAGGTAGCCTATCATGGTTCTCTTTTTGACATGGCTGCCAGGAAGCTTACAGCTAAATTTAAACATTTAATCATCCTGGTAATGGTGGCCTCAGTTTTTGACAAATAGTACTTAATTTCTTCCTCCTCTGTATGACTTTTCTTTATATAACTATTTCAATGGCCTTATTATATTTGTGGCTTTTACTGTTTTAAGGCATCTAAAATTCTTTTTTGGAAGTTAGCCAGGTGTAACTCACCTATAAACCAGGTGAGATGAAGGATTTAATTTCTCTTCTATACTAGGGTCACTACTTCCAAGATGGTGTCCATTTTCAGATCCCTACTCTTCACCTAAAACTTCGGTCCTTACTAAGGAATGAGGCTGCCACAGGACAGATTGAATACAAATGACTAGTTTGAAAATTGTAGGGTCTGCCTGCTCAGTAGGCAAGTCCTTGGAAACTTCTCCCAAATGAAAACAAGCTGTAGAAAGCGAGAGCTGTGCTTTCTGCATTGACGTGGCAGAACTTCACTTTGAGCGGGACCCTGGAGAGGCCAGGCAGCCCAGGCTATGTGTGAGTGGTCAGCAGGTGGTGGTTTGTTCCCCATCCAACTCCAAGCTTTCTGCAGGCTACAGACACAAGTCTGACCCTCCCGAGGCGGGAGAAAGAGATCCTGTAGCCTCCATCTCTTCTGGACCCTGGCCACATAAAGAGATGAAAGTACTGGTTTTCTGAAGCCATGAGGCTTTTTTTTCCCCTCCCTAAATGAAATTCCTCCTAAACCACAAAAATTTAGCCCAGGCAGAATTAAGAAAGCCATAAAGGAGCCCATGCAGCGATCTTTCCTCCTGGTCTCTTTCTGCTTCATGACCATCTGCTGCCATTGCTGTGGAGGTAGCAACAGAAAGCATAAATAAGTCCCAGGAAATGTCAGTCGTTTATGCATTTGGGCCTGAGACTTCCTGTGGCTGTGGCTGTGGCTGTGTGTGTGTGTGTGTGTTTCTTCCCCCAGTTTGTAAATTTTGGTCTTTATTCCTTTGGTATTGGATACGGTTTCCACGATCATCTAAGAGATATGTTCAGAAGAAAAATGGCTTTCAGGGGTTCGGTTGCCTGTGGAAATGTACCTTCTCTAAAGCATCCATTTGGATTCCGCTCATGATCCCCTCCTAGTCACAGCCAATTTGTTCAGATAGAGACAAGGAGGTGCTGCCCCAATGTTCCAGGCACCTCAGAGAACCAGGCAGCTCCAAAATTCTACAACGTTTCTTTGGAAAAAAATCTCAATGTCATTCTGATCCCCAAGCAAGACCACTCTATGACATCAGCAGCATGGGCAAGAGTCACCTGAGACCATGCAGTTGGGTTGTCATCTCCCCTCTTCCTAGTGAAGCCGAGATATATTGCTAAGCCTTCCACAGTAGTTTCCTCATCTGTAAAATGGGGAGAATAGTAATACTGCTTTCACAGAGCAGCTTCTCCAACTTGAATGTGTATGCAGAACAAAGGGGTGGGGGTGGGGAGTGCAAAAACACAGACTGCTGGCCCCACGCCCAGGGTTTCTGAGCCAATGGAGTGGACAGAACCTGGGAACCTGTATTTGCTACGTAGCTGGCCCACTTTAGGAGGCTTGAGAACTACTTTCAAAGGGTTGCAGTGTGCATTTGTTCTACATATAAAGTAAAGGTGAACTGCAATGATTGTTACCTACTGCTGTTAGTGCTGGTAAGCTGTGTTAGGTGACCTTACTTGTTATTATTTTAGAGGTTGTCCCATCAAACTTACATGCCACAGTCACCTGGCAGTAAGTCCTGATAGAATCTATTACAAGAAGAACAGTATGGGGGTGGGGGGGGGAGATCCTATTCATCCTATTGCAGAACGGATATGTTCATAAGAGTTGTAAATACTTAAAAGCTTAATTCTTAAACGGTGGGGCTTTTCTTTTCTCCCTCTAACTTGCCAGCACCCATCTGGGCAGAAGAGAAGCAAAAGCTGACACAGCTCAATTTCTTCTTAAGGTTTCGTGTCTCTTCTCTTTGCTGCAGTAAAAGCGCCAACACAGACTTAGTCATTATGGTCAAAAAAGAATTCTTCAACTCGTTTCAAGTAATGAGGGAGCTGAGCACACGCAGACATTGCTAGAGCCCTCAGCAACAGCTTTGAAAGCGCAGAGGAAACAGACCCCACTACAAGACCAAAGGGACTGTTAAGAAAAGCTCCCCACCACAAAGGAGAGCACCTCAACCCCCGCCCCCAACCTGCGGGTACTCCAGCCACGGGGTGGGGCGGTGGGGAAGGGGATGGGGGAGACAAAGATAAAAACGCTGGGCTGGAGAGGCGCCTGGTGTCAGGCAGAGAGAATCTCCGCACAACGTCAAAGATCAACACGTTTTCCTCGTTTGGACTCTTTTGAGCCACCAGCTGGGCAGCTCAGAAGATTCTAGGGAAAGTCCTCCCCCCTCCGGGGGGGGCCCTCTCGTCCTAGAGACCACGCATCACTCCTCCCAAACAAGATTCCATGCCAACCTCGCGGGGTCCCACGCGCGCCCGCCCTAAGCGCCCCCCCCCACTCCAGGTTCACCGAATGGCAGCCAGTGTGGGTAAAACCTCTTTAACTTTCCCAAACTCAGATCGAAGTTTGCGGGTGGTGAACTGTCCGCGCGAGACAAGAGAACGACACGGAGCCTCCTCGCTTCTCGACGGCTTTCGGACACATTTAAACAAAGGGCACGCGTGTGCAGGAACGCCCGAGCTACCCGGCCTTGACAGCTCCACTCCCCTCGGTCCCCCCAGACGTCCCTGGCTTGGAGCCCGGGGGGTGGGGGGCTGGTCCTCCTACCCACACAGCCTCCCCCGAACTCGGCAGCGATTGGGGTTGGGGGGGGGGCGATGGGATCCTGGAGCTGCTGCCACCACTCACCTCGCCAACTTCTCCAGCCGCGCCGCGCCCCGGTGGCTGGCCCGGGGGCGCGGACGTGGGGGCCGGCGCCTCCTCGGAGCCCGGGCAGGGACG